ACAGCGGCGCGCCCCGCACCCGCCCCTCCGCCAGCCGGTACCGCACGCGCGCGTTCCCACCCCAGTCGGCGTCCGTCGCCCGCACCACCAGCACCAGCGCGCCCGCCGCGTTGTTCTCCCGCAGACGCGCGCTGTAGCGCTCCTGCGAGAACACCGGCGCGTTGTCGTTCACGTCCAGCACCCGCAGCGTCAGCACCCTGCTGCTCTGCAGCGCCGGCCACCCGCCGTCGGACGCCCGCACCGTCACGTTGTACTCCGACTGCTGCTCCCGGTCCAGCTCTCTCGCTGTCACCACGCGGTAGTAGCTGCCCTGCGAGCGCTCCAGGCGGAAGGGGACATCCCCGTCAAGGGAGCAGCGCACCTCGCCGTTGGCCCTGGAGTCAAGATCCCGCACCTGTAGCAGGGCCACCACCGTCCCTGTAAGGGCGTCCTCCGAAATCTCATTTAGTGCAGACCTCACCGAAATCTCGGGAAAATTATCGTTTATGTCTGTCACGGCAATCGTAACTTTCACCGTGTCTGAAAGTCCTCCTCCATCCCGTGCCTGCACCTCCAGTTCGTAGGAATCGCCTTCTTCATAATCAAGGCTCTGCACTAACGAGATCGCTCCCGTCTCAGAGTCGAGCTGTAATATCTTTGTTCCTTTTTCTGTTATTTTCTTCAACGAGTATTCCACGTGCCCGTTTATACCCTCGTCGGGGTCGGAGGCCGTGACAGTGACGAGGGTGGAGCCCACGGGCACATCCTCCGCCACACGCACCGTGTACTCCACCTGGCTGAACACGGGCGCGTTGTCGTTCGCGTCCAGCACCGTCACGCGGATCCGCGCCGTGCCCGTCCGGGCCGGATCGCCGCCGTCCATCGCCCTCAGCACCAGCTCGTGGAACGCCGCCTCCTCCCGGTCCAGCGCCTTCGCCAGCACCAGCTCGGGACGCTGATCCCCGTCAGGACCCGTCTGCACGGCCAGCGAGAAGTGCTCGTCACCGCTCAGCTCGTAGCTCTGTAAGGAATTCCGTCCCGAGTCGGGGTCGTGAGCCTCAGCCAGGGAAAATCGCGACCCCGGGGCTGTTGTCTCGCTCATTCTCTCTACTATCTCAATATCCTTGAAGCTCGGGGCGTTGTCATTAATGTCCATGATTTCTACTTCTATTTCATAAACCTGCATCTGTCCCTCCACTATCAGCTCACAGCGCAGCACGCATTGCTCCACACTCTCGCACAGCTGCTCTCTGTCGATCCTCTCGGCCGTCATTAAATGTCCCGTCTTCCCGTGCAGAGTAAAATACTGCGTCCTACCGACAGAGACAACTCGGACACCACGGTCTGGGGGCTCCGGCAGCTGCAGCCCCAGGTCCTTGGCCACGTCGCCCACGAACGAACCCTTGGGCATCTCCTCGGGCACCGAGTAGCGTAGCTGCCCCCACGCCGCCTCCCAGGCCGCCAGCAGGACGCCCCAGAGCAGGACTCGCTGCCGCCGGCCCCAGCGCCTCCCCGCCGGGCACATCGCCGCCGCTGAACCGCCGGCACCGCAACACTACCGGCAGATCCCAGCTGCCGCCAGCCGATAAGCTTTGCTGTTCGCCGCTCCCGGCTGGTGTCGCCGGACTCTCCGCCTCGCTGCAGCACGGATCGTCACGGCGGGAAAGAGCACAGATCGTCCAGCAGCCGATCCTGTCAGGCAGCGATCGAGCCGGTCCGCAGCGGGCGGGGCTGCAGCGCTCCGACCTTCCTCTCGCTCCTCTCGGTCAACAGCGGCGCCCGCAGCCTCCTCCCGGCACTGCAGGCACCGAGCGCTGTCGAGACATGCTCACCCTGCCTTGAGCACAGGCAGCTCGTGGCGACGGGACATTCGCCACAGAAACGTTGGGTCTCGTCCAGCGGGACCAGCCCGTTATCATTCTAAAGCTTCCAGGAAAAGAAGGGAGAGGGTAAGGCTGAACATTCACTAGGAAGACACACGTAGATTGCCTTTGGAGTAAAACACCGAAACGGTATCAAAACCGTGGTGCTATTCACCAGCCAACCAATCCCTCCACATCGCTTCACGAAAGATGGATCAGGAAGGAGAAACAGCCACTCCTTTTCCCTGATCCCATCATGTAGCATTAGCTAATCTCATTTTATAGAGCAAGGATCTACCTTCTACTTTAATAACTCCTAATATTTCAGACAACCCTACCTTCGTAGACAAAAATTTTCAACTGAACCTAAACGTACAGTGAACGGAAAGAAGAGCTACTATGCGTCTGAACCATCACAATTGTGTGGACAGCACGATTTGAAGGACGAAAATCTCCCCTAAAAATGTGACAACTGGTGAGGGTGGCAGTGATGTCTGCCAGCCTTATTTCATTTCCTCACAGCAATCCGACACTTATGCAGCTACCTCCCCTCAAAAGACACGAGAGCACATGGAAGCATTCACTCTGAAGTAACAGCCTGCTACTTTTCTATCCAGGGATCCACATTTCTGGAGTGCAACAGCGAAAAAGAAAGAAATAAAGAGTTGGGTTGTTTGTTTGTTTGTTTAACAGCTGTTCACCAGGCGTTAACACATCACTTGGGAAAAGAGAGATCAGAAGGAAAACATCTGAAACAACGAAACTCAATCATGGAATAAACAAATCCCGTTCAGCTGAAACTGTCAGTTTCAGACAAGCTTTGAAAACAAACTTCTTCAGCTACACCTCAGCCTATGATGAAAGAACAGGTATTCTCTCTGCCTGCCTGCTCTGAATGGACAGTGAAGGAAAACAAAATATAAACCAGAGCTTTACCTCCCCTGTAACATTCCATGTAGCAAAACCTTAACGGCAAGAGCCTGCCTCGAGTCTACACGTCTGACAGGCCTGACAGCAATAACGAGACCCTTTGCACCATCTGCTCCTAAGAGACACAGGACAAGATTGTTAGAGATGTACATAGAAATACAGACCGGTACGAGCCATCCCAGCAGAGAAAAGAATCCACGGTCACCAACACAATCATAGAAAACATTCAGGGCTTACAGACCTGCGGTGCGGGGTCGGCGGGCGGCTCTCCCGCGACGGCGCTGCTGCTCAGGATCGGCTTGTCGCAGGGCTCCCCGGCCAGAAGCTCCTCGGCGGGCAGGATGGGCAGCGGCGGCGGCGGCCAAGCGGCCTCGGTGGCGGCGCGGGCCGGCGCGGCCACGCACAGGTTGTAGGAGTAGGGCAAGGTGCCCTCGCAGAAGTCGGGCGGGAAGGCGGCGCCGGCCAGCGAGAAGCGCTGCGCGCCC